AGCAGCATCCTTTCCAAAAACCCTTTCTTGCTAGCAGATTATTTAACAGCACTAAAAGTCCCTAAATACCGAAGAATATTTACTCTGGTATGCTTCAACGCCCTTGCCCTCAGCCTTTTTGGGAGGCAGATACTTCTTGTATTCCTCATACACAACGGGTGTGTCCCTGCCAAATGGGAAAGGTTGAGACTGTAGAGCATGTATTATCACACTGCTCCTACTATAGTGACATTCGCTCCCAATATATCACACCAGCGTAAGTAAGCTTCCCAGGAAGATCAGAGCAGTTCTACGTACATCTCTCTGCTTCTCTTCTATTCTTTCTTCAGAAGTAACTCACAACAAATGTCACAACATTTTGTATTTTGGTGTAGTGGTTAAGAGCGGCGGATTGTAATATGGAGAACCAGGTTAGATTCCCCACTCCTCCACATGAAGCCGGCTGTGTGACCCTGGATCAGTCACAGTTCTCTCAGAGCTCTCGCAGCCTCACCTGCCTCACAAGGTGTCTGTTGTGGGGACAGGAAGGGTAGTGAAGAGTGGGGTAGAAAACCAACTCCTCCTCTGCTTCTTCTTCTATACATAAGCAGATAATTAAGTCCTTAAACGAGGCGGGACTATAATGAAACCTTTATATTTATTTGCTGATCCTAGTATTGTATGTGGCAAGGTTTTAAGCAGATTTTATATCTAAATAAACTGAACTGAAAAACAAATATACCAGCTCACACTACTAGTGAACAACGTCTTGATCAGTCATAGCCTCCGTGAAAGGAAGACCACACTTACATCACAGCTCCTCTGTTCACGTGTATTGCTCTGTTCTTCCTGCTCTGACGTGGCTTTTGAAAGGCTTCAGAGTCCAATTTGCCACGACATTCCTATGCAGTCACTTGGGCAAACTGGAAATTGCTTCCTTTCCTCAAACCAGGATTCTGAACTAGATTCGTTTATCTGATTCATTGTATTTGTTACAACACACTAGCTGCTCTCCCCTGGAATGACAACTGATCTGTTCCCTTGAAGGAAATGGCAGCTCTGAAGGGGCTGAGGTCCCTCCTCTCCTCTAACCCTGCCCTCCCCCAGGCTCTATCCCCAAATTTCCAGGAATTCCCCAGCCCAGATTTTGGCAGCCCTGCATGGGATGCAGTTTAGAAATGACTGGTCTAGAGAGTAACCACGTCTCAGAATACCACCGGGAGCCACTAGATCCGGCTAGAGGAAAATTGGCAAAAAAAGTGGGATACTTTTTGAGGAACTCCTCCCTTAAAAAAAAAATATAGGGATGCGGCCCCTTTGGGCCCCCTTTCAACAAAATCCCCCCTCCATTGACACATACTGCTGGATCCCAAAGCTTCCTCCCTCCCTCCTCTGTTGTCAAAAAGCAAAAAGAGGAAGGGTGTAGAAGGGAGAGAAGAACATCTGTGGCAATGTTATAACTGGCTTCGTCTGACATCATTCTGGGAAAAGAGGAAGGTAAAACGACAGAAGGCAGAGGAAAGAGGAAGGGCTGTAGCACAATAGGATTGCCAACTCCAAGTTGGGAAATTTTAGGAGATTTGTGGGTGGAGACTGGCGTTGGTAGGGTTTGAGGAGGGGAGGGAACTCGAAGCCTGTCGGGGCAGCTTGAGCAGGCAAAGAAGAGAGCAAATGTCTGTCAAGGCATCCACCAACAAGCACTTTGTAAAGGCAATGGGTCGTGGCTGTTCCACTCGTCTTGTGAAATGCAGCCCTGCTGTCTCTAAGCTGTTAAAACTTGAACTTAACATAGGTGACAGTGTACTGATCTTTTTAAAAAGAAGCAGCAGGAGAAACAGTCTTTTAAATACACATACCCATAGTACAGTGCAATCAATGGGCTTAGTTGATGGTAACTCTGCATAGGATTGGTTCAGGTGGGTAGCCATGTCGGTCTGAAGCATTAGGACAAAGTTGGAATCCAGTGGCACCTTTAAGACCAACAAGTTTCATTCTGGGTATCAGCTTCCATGTGCATGCACAGCTGAAGAAGTGTGCATGCACAGGAAAGCTGATACCCAGAATTAAACATGTTGGTCTTAAAGGTGCCACTGGATTCCAACTTTGTTCTGCATAGGATTGTGATCTTTGAAGCATAAAAACTGGTTTAACAGGTATTGTCTCTTACCCAGAAACTCTGGGAATTGTAGTTCTGTGAGGCAGAAGAGTCCCAAAGGATCTCTAGCTGAAGAAGAATGACCATTGAGTCACAGGTGGTGACTCCATCATGGGACGTTCAAAGCAAGAGAGGAACGGAGGTGGTTTACCATTGCCTTCCGCCACACAGCAACTCTGCTCTTCCTTGGTGGTCTCCCATCCAAGTGCTGACCATAAATGACCCCGCTTAGCTCCCAAGCTCTGGCAAACTCGGGCTAAACTGAGATGCTTCTGTAACCGAAGTGACTGCAAAAGGCCACACGCCTCCACGGTCCCTGCTGGTACCCCTTATCTAAAACTCAGCTAGCTTCCTGCTTTTATCTCCCAGTGCAAAACATGTTGGACAGCAATCCTTGCCATGGATGTGTTTTCTGGTACCGTCTTGCATCCTGAGTTTTTGGGCTAAAAGAGGCTACTTGGGGATGGCGGAGTCTCATGGAACATCTTCACAGCCGCCAAACATTTCTCTCTTTTTCCTGTCCAAAGGCAGGAAGTTCAGAGGTGGCCAGAGATGCAGGCCGAAGGGCTCTTGGCTTGCAGCCTTCAGCCTATGGCTGCCAACCCAGTGAATGAGGACCCATTCAGGATGTACTTTTGGTTTTCGTGCTTATATGACTTGGTTTGTTTGGAAAGTTTCTGTAAGCCACCTTCGGTCTGGCTGGGGACAGAAGCAACTTAGAAGTACCTTAATTAATAAATTAGATCCAAATCGCAAATGGAATCAGAAAAGGGAGTCTAGGGTCACTCCTTACCAGATGACTGAGTAGCAAAGAACCAATCCTGCCCCACTATGGTAGCCATTTTTTGACTGATCACAGACTCCTCCCCACAACTTTCTACCTTTCCTCGAAATTCCAAAACTGATCATCATCCTTTTTTTGGGATAAGAAACTTTCCCAGCACATTACTGTGTTTTCCCCAGCACATTACAGAACCATTATTGGGTCTGGACAGAGTACAAAAGAGTTTCTTGTTTCCAAGTTTACATTGTCGACTAAGAAGAAAAGAACAAGAAGAGGTTTGGCCAGATTCTAAATGTATTACTCAAAATAAGTCGTACTACCATATTTACTCAGAAGTAAGTCCCATGTATATATTGTAATCCCATCTTCCTACCAAGGAGTTCAATAGGACATTCAAGAGGCTGATCCAGGGCCAGTTCTCTGGGAAAGCAGCCCCCTCCCTCCTCCCCACAACTCCTTGAGGCAACACAAGCCTGCACCACCACCAGCTGGGTCTAAGCTTGGCAAATAGGCACCGTGTTGGGGAACCCTACTCTAGACAGCAGCAAGGATGCCTACAGGGGGCATACAATTCTAGAGGTTCTGGTCATCCATGGGTGGGGCACAGAGCCATGCAATTTGATTTCAAAGGAAGTTTGGAGAATGTTGTGTGAGGGGATAGAGGCAGAAGTGAGAGGAACACACTTCACACAAAGGCAAAAGCTCTTTCCCCCCATTTTTCATATATTCCAGAGCCTGGCACTTAACTCAGCTGTACCCCAAGCAGCTGGGGAAAAGATCAACAACCTCAGATATGCAGATGATACCGCTCTAATGGCAGAAAGTGAAGAGGACCTAAAGAGCCTCTTACTCAGGATGAAAGAGGAGAGCGCAAAACTGGGCTTGAAGCTCAACATCAAAAAAACTAAGATCATGGCATCCGGCCCCATCAGTCCTTGGCAAATAGAAGGGGAAGTCGTCGAAGTAGTGACAGACTTCACATTCCTGGGATCCCAGATCACCGCAGACAGTGACAGCAGCTATGAAATTAAAAGACGCCTGCTCCTTGGGAGGAAAGCGATGGCAAACCTAAACAGCATGATAAAAAGTAGAGACATCACCCTGCCATCAAAAGTCCGCATGGTCAAAGCAATGGTATTCCCAGTAGTCATGTATGGCTGCGAGAGTTGGACTATAAGGAAGGCCGAGCGCGGAAGAATAGATTCTTTTGAACTATGGTGCTGGAGAAGACTCTTGAGAGTCCCTTGGACTGCAAGGAGATCAAATCAGTCAGTCCTAAAAGAAATCAACCCTGACTGTTCCCTGGAAGGCCAGATAATGAAACTGAAGCTCAAATACTTTGGCCACCAAATGAGAAGGGAGCACTCACTGGAGAAGACCCTGATGCTGGGAAAGATTGAAGATTGAAGATCAGAGAAGACGGGAACGGCAAAGGATGAGATGGTTAATGTCATCGATGCAACGAACATGAAATTGAGCAAACTTCAGAGGACGGTGGAAGACCGGAAGGCCTGGTGTGATCTGGTCCATGGGGTTGCAAAGAGTCAGACTCGACTGTGCGACTGAACAACAACAAAACCCCCAAGCAGCACAGAGCCAAGAAATCCCAGAATGTTGGAAGGAAATATTTATTACTGCTAGTTAACTCATTTTTATGCCACCCAAGGAGCTGAGCTGTGCCCACACCGTACACCCTTCCTCCGTCCGTCTGATCCTTTACAACAACCCCCTGAGGTGGGTTAGGCTGAGAACTATTAGCTCCCAGTGAGCTTCTTGGCTAAAGGGACGTTTGCAGCTGGCTCTCCCAAAGACCCCGTCAGCTACCCTAAGGCCGCAACCACCCCACGTAAAGGTCTCTGTTTGCAGAGGGGCAGCAGCGCCAATTCCAGAGGTGCCAAGCGAGAGGGAGGTCCTCAAAAAGGGGTGGTCGCGTCGATGCCAAGAAGGCTCCTCTCCCTCGAATCCCTTTTAGTTCAACAGGATTTAGGTTTTCTTCCGTTCGAGGCGGAAAAAGGAGCCTGGGCGGCACAGCCAGCCTGGGACCGGCCGCGCTTTCTTGGGAAGAAGTCCCCCGGAAGGAACTCCGGCTCCTCGTCGTAGAAGTTGCCGAGCCAGGGAAGGGGCCTCGGCTGGGCGGAGGAAGGGAGCGGCCTTCAGGTCTGGGTGGGGCTTGGGGGGGGAGGCAGCCACCGGAGCGAGCAAAAGGCGAGGCCGGCTGGGCAGGGCTTGGCACAGGAAGGCCGGCGACCTGCGCACTCGGCAACATCCAGGAGGACGCCTCGGCCAAGTTTGCTGCTCCCGTCGCCGCGCTCAGCTCCCGCCTCCTCGCCGCCACCATGCCGGTGAAGGGCGGCACCAAGTGCATCAAGTACCTGCTCTTCGGCTTCAACTTCGTCTTCTGGGTAAGGCCCGGCCTGGCCCCGGAGCGGGACTTCTTCGCTCTCGGGTGTGTCCCCCCCAGCTTCCGCCTCCTTGCCCAGGCCGCCGCCACCATGCCGGTGAAGGGCGGCACCAAGTGCATCAAGTATCTGCTCTTCGGCTTCAACTTCGTCTTCTGGCCGGAGGTGACTCGGGGAAGAAGCGAGGCTGGCCGCCGCTTGCTAGGAGCCACCTCGGAGCTCCTGCGCACCCGTTCCGTTCCACCCCAACTAGGCTAAAGTCGGGCGGGCTGGAACTTCTGGAGCGCAGAGCCGACTGGGAACGCGCACAGCAGCGGGTCTCGGCTCTCCTTTCGCGCCCTTCCTTGGCAAGGCGCTGCTCTCCCACCCAGGGCCCGGTTTCCCCGCTCTCAGCCCCCGCCGCTGCTTGCGCTCGCCGCTCAGGGCTAGCCACAGCTCTGCACTCGCCCCGGTGAAAGCAGTCCCGTGCAGAGGGCAGCACTTTTCTCACTGTTGGAACACCAGAGAGAGTGGGATTTTGGATCCCAGGAGAAACTTGCCCAGGTGTTCGTGGCAGGGTGGAGTTGGAGGTGCCAACGGCTGAGTGTACCTCGCAGAGCTCACTTTTTCCTTAACAGGAGTGTCCAGGGGAGGGAGGCTTGGCCGTGCTCTTTAGTGGAATGTGCAAAGGTTGCGTGGGTGGGTGTTCGAATAGCAGGGTGTTGGCTGGGTCTCTCCTCCCCCCCCCTCTTTTTGCAAGGTGGTTACTGCCTCCCTCGCAGAGGCATCCCCCCCTCCCCCGGATCTGACTGTGTTTGGAGCTGAACACGACCTCCACGAGGCCCCAGACTCTTTTCTCACTTTGACAGCCTCAGAAGCCTTCTACAACCCACAGGCTGCATGCTCTGTTGCTTGTTTCTTGTAAAAGCAGCATGCGCAGGATAGACTTCACGCATGACACCCCACTTGAACCCCAGTGTTAGGCAAATCAGAGCCTTTAGGTTTGTGCATGTGGTGTCTGGGGGCTCTTTTAGCCCAGGTGCCTCCGTTTTTAACAGGTAGTTGGCCATTCAAAATGCCGTTTCCTGTAAATGTTTACAGCATTGCCTATAATAGAAAAATAACTCTGTTATAACTTAAATGTTATATGGTTCAGCAAGGAGATAGCCAGGTTCTTTTGAAGCTCCTTGGAAACATGTTACCTCTCAGGGAAGTCCCTTGGCAAGGTGGCGTTTGCCCTGCTTTCTGCTGCCAATATGGGAGGCCAGTGTTCCCTCTAAGCTGAGTTAGTGTGAGCTAGCTCACAGTTCTTTAGCGTCCAGCTCACACATTTTTGTCTTAGCGCAGGAAGGATGGCTCCAAAGCAAACTAATTTATGCAGTGGCCAACATGTTCATAAAGTAGAAGCCAGTAGCTCATGCTCATAAAGTAAATGCCAGTAGCTCATAAAGTAGAAATTTTTGCTCACCAGACTCCACAGCTTACAGGGAGCATTGGACACCCAGTCATTAAATTCTGTGTTTGACCCTTCTCTGTATTTCCATTTCTCACACTGGATTTGCATTACATTTTTTTTAAAGATCAGTTTCTTGCAGATAATAACCCTAAGTAAATCCCAGCTTTCAGGAGAGAGCATGCCATAGACTCCACAGGATTAGATTACACCATTTCACATGTGCTTGTTTGGAACTGCCCGTCTTGTAGGGGGGAACATGCCCCTTTTGGAGAGGGGGGGTATGTTTCCTAAGAAAAGTGACTAGAAGCAACCCCCTATGGGAAGGTGAAAAACGTTCAGGAAGGTGAATAGGGTTTGGGCCCACACCAGCATTGCATCACCTCAGCATGTGATCAGAGCTGAGGGAATTCCAGAGTGAGGCTGAACCACCAGTCTGTGATGTCAGAGCCTTCCCCATGGTGACAAACACAAGCCCCTGTTTTTCTAGACTTGCATTAGTGAAGACTGATGTCATCAACAAGGTAGTTTCCCAGTCATTGTTCCACCCACCCAATCTCAAACCCAGACCTTCCTGTTTTTCTCCATTCTCATTGATTTCAGAAGTGACGTACATAAGTGACCAAATATTCACAAAGCATTTTTTCGTTCATGAGAGCTCTGCCTGAAGGCAGAGACTGGAGAAATGTCAGAGACTTGTATGAATTCTGCACTTGGACAGAGTGCTTTATACTGAATAAAGTATAATACAGAGTCCTGAGGTTTCTGGTCACTCTAGACATTGAGATGTTTCTAGCCCTCATGACTTATTCGTGGGCACTCCATGAAACTGCAGAGCGGTCGGGTTAGAACAGATAAAAGGAAGTACTTCTTCACCCAAAGAGTGATTAACACATGGAATTCACTGCCACAGGAAGTGGTGGGTGCTACAAGCATGGACGGCTTCAAAAGGGAATTAGATAAGCATATGGAGCAGAGGTCCATCAGTGGCTATTAGCCACAAGGTATAGCTAGGGGCTCTGGGGCAAGTGATGCTCTGTCTTCTTGGTGCTTGGGGGGGGGGGTCAACAGTGGGAGGGCTTCTAATGTCCTGGCCCCACTGCTGGACCTCCTGATGGCACTGGTATTTCTGGCCACTGTGTGACACAGAGTGTTGGACTGGATGGGCCTTTGGCCTGATCCAACATTGGCGTCTCTTATGTTCTTATGTTCTTATGTTCTTAAATACGTATGCCCTGTCTTCCCACCCAATTCGGTACCCAAAGCTGCTTAGCTATCAGAACTTATAAACTTTTTTTTACTTTTGATATATGCTTGTGTGAAATCTCTCCAAAGTCAGAGAACAGGTGAGGGTGAAACCTCTGGTGGCCAGGGGACAGGGCTTTAGGACCCAAGCAACTGTCTTGTGCTAAAAACAGGTGAGGAGAGAAGGGGGGATTTGGATCCATGCTACAAATTGGCAATAGATCCATGCTGGTACATATACAGGTTTGCAGAATTCTGTTCTTCACGGGCAGATTTTCGAGTAGAATTCTTTTCAGAGCATAGCACACACTCCCTTGAGCATATTTCTCTCTTGGTATATTTGTGTTGGCGTTTCTTCTCTATTATTCTTCCTTTCCTGCTTGGGATAAACTAGGGTGGGGTTGCTTTTTCTGCTTTTGGGCTATTTAGTGTTCTCTGTGTTTATGGACTTGAGTCTCGGATCATGATTTACTGATAGGGGACTAATCAGCTTGAGAGTCAGCAAGCTCAGTGAATGGGGTTGGTGGGCTGGGAGCACCCCAGTTTTGACAGCGCCCCCCCCCCCCCGGATTTGCTGAGTATGGCATGGCTTGCTAGTGATGGCCGGCAGCTATTTGAGAGGGGTGCTGGGAGGCACCTTTTCCAAAACTAAAACTTGGTAAGCACAGATGATATGCTAAAAAGAAGGGCATATTTTTTGGAGTGGGTGGGTATTATTAAGTATTTAAAATTAATATCCTTTATCTCTGGCCCCACTGGTGGACCTCCTGATGGCGCCTGGGTTTTGGCCACTGTGTGGCATAGAGTGATGGACTGGATGGGCCATTGGCCTGATCCAACCTTGGCTTCTCTTATGTTCTCAGCCATTCTGGGCTCACCAGGCAGCTCTTGGACATTTAAAGGGGGGGGGGGAGAGACAGAAGACTAAAGTACACTTCTTAAGGCTCAAGAGTAAAAAGCATAATTTAGAAGATAATCTTTCCTATATGCTGAGAAAATAAAAACCTATACGGAGTGCTTTTTAAGAGAGGGCTTCAATTGGTTTTGTTCCATGCTAAATCTAGAATAAACTCTGCCCATGAGATTTTTGGAGAAAAGTGAAGAGTATTCTGAAAACAAACTCCAAGGGGATCTGGGCAGTGTTCCCTCTGATCTGTGCGCGTGTCACCACTCATTAACACAGGAAGCCCTGCTCAGCAGTAGTCTGGAGTCAGACAGGGTCTTGCACTGCCGGTTGCCCATTTTAAGATTACAGCAGTTATATTCTCCCCAGGGTGTGAACTGCTCAGCTCAGGGGCGGGGGGAGAATTAGAGGGAACATTGAATCTGGGTAATGATTCCAGTTAGAGGGTGAGGCTTCCTGTATCTTGGACATTTTGTATTCCTTTCTTATTCATCATTTTAATGTTATTTTATTCACTTCTTTGCTGTCTCCCCAAGGGGTGGGGGGACTGCCAGAGGTGGCTTGCCATAGTAACAAAACAGAATAGAACCATACAACAATCAGTCAACAGTTAAAATAACTAAGCTGCAATAAAACCGTAAAAACAGGCAAGGCAAGTAACAATAAAAATTTGAAATGACCCATACTAGCATAAAACTGAGAAAACATTAGTTCAGCAGCTGTTTTTTTAAAAATGAACTAAAGACAGGATCAGCATAAAACAATGAGTCAGACCAGTCAAATAAAACAAAATATAGCACAATGAAATGGACTCTGAAATGAATAGTAAACACTAAGGTTCAATAAAGCTGAAAAGTAAGGAAACCTCTCTGATAAAAGCCTGAGTAATTTAATATTAACTATATTTCTGTAGAAGGGTCGGTGCCGGGCAGACTTCAGAGGGGGAAAAATAGTAGAAAGCCCTTTCAGACTAACAAACTTCATTGTAGCATAAGCTTTTGAGAAACACAGCTCTCTTCACCAGATGAGACAAGTCAGATGCATCTGGTGAAGAGAGCTGTGTTTCTCAAAAGCTTATGATACAATAAAGTTTGTTAGTCTTAAAGGTGCTACTGGGCTTTTTACTATTTTGTGGCAACAGACTAACATGGTTAACTCCTCTGGAACTTCAGAGGGGGAGTTTCACACAGGTGGGGTACTGTCAGGCTCACTATGCATTTTATGGTTCGCCTGCCATAGAGGAAGGAGGAGGGGAAAGGGGTGTGAAAATCGAAATACTTTCGCTTTCCTAAATACTTTGATGTGCCAGACACTGTGTCGCAGAGACCCGCTGTTCTGCTTTATTTCTGTAGAGGGGATGGGGTACGTGCTTAGTGGGGGGGGTAGTCAGCTGTTATTTCTGGTGGGCAAATGTTGCAGGGT